TTTATTTATTTTTTAAAAGATGACTGGTAAGGGGATCCTAACCCTTGACTTGGTGTTGTGAGCACCACGCTCTCCCAAGTGAGCTACCCGGCCATCCCTATATGGGATCCGAACCCATGGCCTTGGTGTTATCAGCACCACACTCTCCCAAGTGAGCCATGGGCTGGCTCCAAATTTTCTTTTAGAAAAACAACTTATTTCTGTTTGATTGAGACATCAATTTTTATAACTTGTAATTGCTCATATACAAAAAATAAATAAATCATTCTAAGAGTGATATAAGACGTTTTGGGATCCACTTTCACTTCAATATAACTTTCTTGTAAAATTATCTTCTCAGAATTACCTTACAGAGAAGGCACAGATAGTGTTGTTTGCCTCACTTTTCAAAGGAAGCCTCAGAAAAATTGAGTGACCAGTATTCACACAGCAGTATAGCAAAAACTAGAACCAGAAATACATTTTCTTCTTTTTAGTCTTAGCATGTAGCTGCCTCAATTTCCTTTCAGCCGTAAAACTTATCTGGACATCTTTAGATAATTCTAGTTTATAAACAATTTACTTATCATAAAGAAAAGTCTCATTTGACTTATATAATTTTCCTTGAAGTTTTTCTGCTAAATTTCTTCTAAAATAGTAAGTCTTTCACACATTCCACTAAATAAATACAATATATTGTTCATTTCTAAACTTTCATTTTTTAGAATTTCTGCAGTTCTTCCTTTAATTTCTTATTCTTTTACACAATGCACTTGAACCTTTATGAAGAAATAAATATAAAAATGTCATTCTTACTTTACCAATCTGTTCATGTTGAGGGGCTCCTCCAATTACTTCAGTAGTATGTGGACTCCGAAAATGACCAGCTCCAACTGAGTATCCTTCCAGAAAAGGGAGAAAAGTACGAGTCGTCGTTTACAATGGGTAAAATATAACATAAACCTAGTTATAGAATTAAATGAGACTGAACTCAAAATGACTACATTAAACAGGGTTTTAAGAATATTTGGCATAGCAATGCTCAAAATT